ATTAAATTTATTAGTGGGTGAGGAAAGTAAACATTGGGACACAAAGAGATGACAATGATATATTTGACAACTTTTTTGGACAAAGTTACAGCAACAGTATTATTAATTATAAATGACTAAACGAGCAAAGAACATTTAATTATAACAAAATTGATGGCTTACTTGAAGATAACAATTTTTAATCCGATGATTCACGGCATTTTCGATTGAAAGCATCGTAATTTCTTTCATACAGACCAAAATTCTTTTAAAGCTTAACCACTTTATTGTTTAAATTAGCAATGCAATTAGCTGAATTTAATTAATTCCTTTAGATATGTTGGAAAGTAAAATACGTAAAACACTGTTAAAGAATGGGTAATTCAAGATCAAAGTACAAAGAGACAATGTCTTTAATGCTATTTACTATTAAAATGCCACAATGGTTCTTAATTAGGTTACATGAATAAATGCTGCTATTTGTGTATTTATCATTTTTCAAATCGCTTTTCAACTTATCCTTTAATGATTTTCAAACTTTCTTTAATTAATTAGCAAATTTTATTGTCAAATTCAATAATCTCCTCCAATGTCAAAATATTTTTGCACCACAAATGATATTTTTGCTAATTAATAGTAGGAAAAATGAGAAACTTACATTTTTGTAATGAATCAGTTTATTGTTACACGATAACAGTAAATCGTTATAACCTTTAAAATTAGTAAAATCTGTGAAAAGATTTATGCCCACTTTCGTTTCAGTAATTTTTCGCTTTGATGACTTAGCTTGATGTGACATTTCCGGATCGCCTTCTTCTGTTTATTCCGCTTCCAAACAACTCATACATCTGAATCCTCGAATCATCGCGGTCTTCTAGATAAAGATTACAGAAAGAAAAATTGCAAAAATGAAATGTACATCTTCACTTCTAGTTGATTAATCATATATTTTAGATTTGCTTATCGTCAAAAATACATATTTTATATTGCCACGTTATTTGCACTTCTCTTTTCCCGCTTTTCTCGACTACATCGGTGGGTTCCAGAAATTTCTCCCAGACCATTTTTGCCCTTTCCCGGATTATTTATTATATATTGACTATATCTCTGACTATTTATATTATTTATATTTTATTAATCAAAAGTGTTAGCATTTATTTCAGATAATACGGTCATTGCTTCTGCAACATAACTTAAACAGCAATACAGTTGAGTGTTTTAATTTTACTACTGAATATATAAATTTACTTTTTTATTAATTTGCATTCAATTAAATACCTGTTTCATCTTTCTGACTAATTTTTTCCATTTATCTTTTTTAATTAATTTTTTTTAGGCACGTTAAAATCTTGAAATCGAACCTGAGCAAATGACTTAGTTGAATTTTCTGATGACTGATAATTTCAAATAAAATATGATTATTTCGGAGAGAAATAATTACTCATTTCTGTCCTATAAGAGTGTGGAATTATAATTAATGTCATTTCATCACCATTTTCATATTAAATCCTAAAGTCCATTTACAGTATCAGATCTCACTCTATGTCTCTTTTAAACTTGTTTTTCTTCTCAAGTTTTCTAATTCATTATATTTAACTAGCTCGAATTTTTTTTTTTTTGATACTTGTTGCAAATAAAAAAGCTTCACATATAATAACATCTAGGTCGTTTTCAGTTTATTTCTTTTAATCTTCCTC